CCAAGTCTCAACTAAGAGTTTCCTTGTACCAACATCGAGTGAAGAGATACTTCAACTCAAAGGTCAAGAATCGAGACTTCAGGGTGGGCAACCTAGTTCTAAGAAAGGTCATCCCTAGCGCATAGAATGCGAACTTGGGGGCACTTGGGCCCAAATGGGAAGGTCCTTCCAGGATCTCAGAAAAGCTCACACCAGGAACCTTTCACTTGGAACACTTTAATGGTGAAGCTGTATTGCAAGCATGGAATGTCGAGCATCTGCAAAGATACTATCAGTAAACAGCTTGGGTCCATTTTTGTTTTTTCTACCATTTAGCAATGTAAGGTCTCTTATGGCCAATTTTCACTATCAATAAGGAGGATATAGTCAAAACTTTCTCTTATTTATTATTTATTTCAAGATCACAATCTAAGCGATGACATCAAAAAACTCGAAGTCAAAACTTCAAAAAAACGAAGTTTTGCTCTATAATTCAAATTCATCAAGGGAAACATTCCCCAACACGATGAAGTTAAAACTCGAAAAACACTCGAGTAAAACACGTCGAAAGAAAATCGGTCATAATTCGACGAACAAAACGCAAGACGGCCAACCATCTCTAACTTGGCGTTGTCGTAAGAAAGATTTTCTTGTTTGTTCAAAAAGTTCCTAAAGAAGCGAGCTAGGCATAACTTGGAGCAAATTCGAATTGTTATAATAAGTTCAGTTAGAACAATTAAAATGACTTCGCATAAATAAAAAAATTTGCTTGACAAAAGAATGGAAAAGATTCAATTTTATTGATCGATAAAAGTTTCCATTACAACATAACTAACTAAAAAAAAAAACAAGTTTATGATGCAGGAGCTGGAGTGTCTTCAGGAGCGAGAGCTTGAGGAGAGTCCTTTGATGGCTCGCTTGGGGGAAGGTCGTCAACATCAATCGAAGGCGGAGCTGGCAAGGTCTGGTCTTCGACCTCTTATTTGACCTCAACCTCTTCTTCTTTGTTGCCTCCTTCGTCGCCCTCGCTCTCATAGGACTTAGAGTTGTCTGAGTATACACACTCTAAGCCCTCTACTTCAGCCTTTATCCTCTCTATCTCCTTCTGATAGATGGTGGGGAGAAAGGAGAAGTCTAGCGAGGGATGAGCCTCTCACAGGCATTGAACCAGATAGACTAACATCTCTCAAGCGTGGTCCCTAACCTCCACCTCAGCTCCTTAACCTCTTTCTTGAGGTTAAAGGCATCTGCCTCGAACTCCTTTTGGTTCTCCTTTTTGAGGAAAAGGTTAGCTGATAAGTTTGAGAAGTTAACCTCCAAGTCCAACTAGCCTTTTGAGTTGTGACAAGCTCAAAAGCCAGCTTATTGTTAGCACCCCATTACTGTGCCAGGTCTTTTTCTGCTTGTTGCTTAGTGACCTTGATCTGAGAAAGTTTATCGAGAAACTCTCTTTCTTTGACCTGAAGGACTTCAGCCAGCTATTTCTTTAGCCGTTCAAGCTCAGCCCGCAGTGACCCATTCTTCTACTCCACCAACTTGGCCTTCGCTAAGGCCTCTTCCTCATCCTTCTCCACCTTCTGCCACCCTTGGTGCGAGCCTTCCAAGGTTGTATAAGCTCCCATCAAAGAGTGTAAGTAATTGATCTACCATACGCAGCTGAAAACAAAAATTCAATCAGTAAATCAATTACCTTTCTTTGCCTAGATCCGAGTATAGATTATACCGTTTGCATGTTTATAAACAAAAATCTGTATAAAGTAAATCCATTCAAGGATTAGAATACTTACGTATGTTTGGAGGCTCTTTCGAATATCTCTGATTTCGGATAGGAACACTGTTCACTATCTACGGTTCATGGTTACTGTTCACTGTCTACTGTTCATAGTTACTATTCACCATCTACTATTCACATGATTTTTCACCAATCGATCCAAAGTAGGAATCACACTCAGGGAAGTTCACACGAAGATAATCCATAGAACCCTTGATTATTTTGCTAGAATAATCAAGGGCTTCAAGAATCAAGAAAGAAGAACAAGAAAAGTTTTCTTTTAGAGAGAGAGAGAGAGAGATAGGGTGGCTACGGTTTTAATTGAATGAATAATTGTATTTATTTTAATTTTAAGTTGCACTTATATAGTGCAACAATTAAAACTCTATTACACCTAGGAATAGCCATGGGCTCCAACCCTAGTTCACCCTTGCAACCAAACACACCCTTTATGGTATTTTAATGAATTAACTATTATTATAATTAAAATCAATTAATATATAATAATATATTAACATTTAATTAATAAAAATAATTCATTTAAATATATACAGAGATATATTTAAATATAATCTCACTAATTTAATTTAATATTAAAATTAAATACAGGCAACAACCTCAGCAAATTTAATTGCATTGTGAAATTACCAAAATACCCTTTAATCCTAAAAGACAAAAATACCCTTCTCACAAATTGATTCTTAAATTATCTTCTAAGTGTGTGACCCGTAGGCTCCTCATCATATTGGTAGTGTGTACTATCGTGATTAACACCAATTATTTTATTGCAGTTAATAATTTACGGTAATGTTTTTCAAGGCGTAGATAGTGTCTTAAGTGTGTAACGAGCTGCCTTTGTGTGGAGTGTTCTAGCTTCAGTTCTCTCCTCTAATAGTGTACCATTCCTCAGGTAGGCAATGATCGTGTCCATCCAATTGTATCTCCGACTCGTTGTTAAAACTAGCCCCTGAGGAGCGGAGATGCTTAGTTTTGGGAGGAACTTGACTGGGATAGAATCAGCCTTCTCTTGGTTCATTGTAGAGGCTAAGCGGGCTAATGCGTCCGCTTGCATGTTCTTCTCCCTCAGGATCAGGTGAATTGTGAAAGACCTGAACTGCTTGAGCTCAGCTTCAACTAGCTATAGGTAAGACGACATCCTATTTTCCTTCGTCTGGTATTCCCTAGTAATTTGGTGGACTACAAGCTGTGAGTCGCTATAAACCTTGATGGATTCTGCCCCCATTTCCTTAGCGAGGCATACCCCTGTAGGCAATGCCTCATATTCAGCCTTATTGTTGGAAACGACGAACCTGAATCTTACCGCAGCTCTGATTGGGTTTCCCTATGGACTTTTGAGCAAGAGCTCCACTCCTGCCCCTTTCTTATTCAAGGAGCCATCTACATATAAAGTCAATTACCATAAGTCGTCAAGCCTTGGCTTTTGTTGCTTGATTTCTCCCAAGGTACCTACCCTTACCCGGCTTGACTCACTTCTGCCTGATAGGAAAATTCAGATATGAAATCTTCTAAGGCTTGACCTTTGATTGCTGTCCTTGGGATGTACTTGATGTCGCACTAACTCATCTCCATTGTCCACTAAACTAACCTACCCGATGCCTCGGGTTTTTGCATTATCTTCTTTAAAGGGAAGTTGGTTAGCACGTGAATAGAGTGTGCCTGGAAATATGGGCATAGCTTCCTGGCAGCGATGACAAGGGCGAGGACGAGCTTTTCCATCTTAGGGTACCTTGTTTCCTCATCGAACAGCTTTTGCTTGCATAGTATGCTAGCCATTGCACTCCTCCTTCCTCGCATACCAATGTCACGCTGACAGCAGATTTTGATACCGATAACTATAATAGCAATGGTTCGCCCTGGATGGGCTTTGACAATAAAGACGATTATCCCAAATGTTTCTTCAGCTCTTAAAAGGCTCTCTCACACTCCTCTGTTCACTTGAAGCCTTTCTTCCCTTTCAAGGTCTCAAAAAATGGTAAGCATCCATCTGTGGCTCGAGAAACAAATTTGCTAAGTGTGAGCAAATTCCCTGTCAAGCTTTGTACCTATTTTAAGACCCTATAGCTATAGGATCATTTCATCATTTTCAGATTGCTTCGGATATTACCAATAGTAACCACTATTAAGTGAAATATTAATAGTGGTTACTATTGGTAATATCCGAAGTAATCTGATTACCTCTATTTTCTTAGGTATTCTAAGATTACTAGGGTTATCTTTTTTGGTTACAATTTTATCCCTTATTAATAAACATTTTAGACAATAATACCCCTACATTAAAACAAATTTACATTAATATCCTATTTCAATTTTACCATTGTTTAATTAAAATTTTGGACAATAATGCGCTTATGTTTAAAATAATTTACAGACCACCACAGATCCCAGCCACCATCGCCGACAGCGGGCCAACCACCATGGATCGCCGTCGAAAAATTTCCGGAGTCCCTAAAAAAGAACGGGATTCTGTGGGAGGCTCCAGGAGGCTTTGATATGGCCGTTTCCGGCCATATTGATGGCCAAAAACGGCCATATCAAGCCAGATCGATGGAATTGGCCTGGCCGTTAACGACCAGATCCCTGACCATTAACGGCCATGGAGATGGCTATTAACGGCCAGATCTATTATGGTTCTAGCCATTTTCGACTAGATCTGGCTTGATATAGACGTTTTCGGCCATCAATATGGCCAGATCTGGCCTGATATGGCGGTTTTCGGACATCAATATGGCCAAAAACGGTCATATCAGAGCCTCTTGGTCATAGTGAGGTACTCACGAGGACTTTCGGAAACTTCTGGCGGTGGTTTGTGGTGGCAGCAGGCGACATCAGGAGGTGGGGGTGATTTTGTCATAAATTAAAGTTTTATATAAGTGCGGGTGTTTTAGCTAAATCTGAAATATTGGGGGTTAAAATAAAAATTAATAATAAAAATAGTATTATATTAATATTTAAAAGGGGACAATTTAGTAATTTAAATTACATACCCACCAATTTATTCGCCATAACTTAACATATTAATATAACATACCCACCAACTAACCAAACACATTTTCTTACACCAATTAATCGTCTCACTACATACAGACCAAGATTGCCTCCTAGCAAGGCATCATGGCCACCTGACAGATTCGGATTCAGCGAAGCAGCTACCTATAAACGATATGGTTATCGTACAATCTGATCCTTTCATCATACGTT